AGCTCTGCGATGTCCAACAAATCGATCAAGAAGAGCCCAATGGTCATGCGTGCTCTGCAGCGTGGCGTGGAAGGCATCGCAGAAGATCTCCTGCGAAAACGACGTAACACTGCCACGTCCATTCGTCACATCCTCTCACGAAAGGACAGTACAGGTGTGAGTGCGGATGCTGTTGCATCGTCCCCAACAAGTGTGAACGGGACCGCATCTATGGCTTCCACTGGCAGCCAGCCAGCCGCCAAGTCTTCCACTCCTCCGCTGGACCGGAGGCCGAGTCTTGGCAAGAGGCTGCGGCGCTCGGCGTCCACACGCCAACGGTCAAGCCTGACCGACACTAGCACATTACCCTCGTCGGCTATAAGCAAGGGCAATGGGAGGCAGCACTCTCTGCCCTGCGAACAGTCACAGCACTCTTCGTCGCTGGCCGGCAGCCAGACTTCGCCCCTGGTCGGCCACACATCGCCGCCGCCAGTGACGATCAGCGAGGGCATCCTGCAGACCCAGCGCACGTCCAGCGTCGAGTCGGAGCAGCCGAGCGCGCTGACCCTGCGCAAGCGTCTCGTCGTCCTGCGCCGCTTGCTAGCCGAGCGGCAGGCCTTGGTAGCCGATCTTGACACAATGCTTCGCCTGTTTGGGTCGGTGGGCGCCAGCACTGTGGATAGTGCGAACAGGGAGGCGACACCGGTGACATCAGTACCTATACGGAGGCAGCACGCCACGGCCACGCTCAACAGAGAGTACACGCTGATCGCCGGCAACAAGCTGAGCCTGCTGCCCAAGGGACTCCAGGTGACCGTGTCCGGTCAGATGTGCTCGAACGGGCGGTATCGCTTCACGTCCGCCCATCGCGCCGAGCCAACGGTGCACTGCCTTCGGCCGGCGCCCAGAAATCAGCGCATGTGCAGCGAGGCGTCCAGCCGTAGCACTGAGACACCGCCATCCACAGGCGGCCAGTCCGTGGGAGATCAGCACATAGCGTCCTCAACCTCGGGCATCTGCCTAAGCGTGATAGCCAGTGAGAAAGGGGATGTGCCCGGCAACGGTAGTGATACCACGCGGGCTTCTAGCGGTAGAAGTCAGCGAAACAGTAGCAGAAGTAGTGCCACTAGTGGAGACCAGCTGTCGGATCTCGACACATCGCCCGCGAGAAAAGGCAGACGTGGTCCGCGATCGTCCATTGACGGCACAATCCCACGCACAACACTCTCCCTGACCAACCTTCCGGCCAAGCTGGGCAGTCTGCGGCGCGTGAAGAGCTTCTCCCACCGCGTTCGGTCCAGCGAGTCACTACAGCGTACTCCGTCCGTGCGTCCCATTCAGAAGCGCGCCAGTGTGGTGAGCTGCGAGGCCTATGTGTCAGTGCGAGCCCTGCTCAACGACGACTCTGTGATGGCTCCACTGACAATGCAGACTGTAGACTTTCCACTGCTGGGTAGTCTACCCGCAAGTACTCTTGACTTTCACAAGGAGGAGGAAGAAAGAAATGAAGACACCATCATCATCCAGCTTGGCCATTCGCCGCAGAGTAGATCGTCATACGATGCATAAATTTGTTGAGAAAGTTTCACGGCACTGTGCCTTCCCAGCCAAGCTTCTTCGCTGGACATTCCAACACTCATTTCGCTGTATGCCAATGCAGTTGCGTAGCATATCCACAGCTTTCAGTGCCGTTGCCTTCAGCTGGGTCGCTACTGTTCAGAGTGTGTTTCAACACTGCTGACATGCCCCCAGGCCTCATTTTCCTATTTCGTTCTTCCCGTGGGTTTCTCCACCACACCGTATGGCTGTTCGTGTATGCTTACGGCCACCGCGTTCGCTCTGCTGATGAGTCCGCGCACTCGGCAGCAGTTATATAATTATGTCTGCGTCAATTGAGCTCCGAGTTGTCAACTGAGCCGCCATCGGTAAGTGTTCTTTGCCTATTCATCATAACCTTAGTCGTGCTGGCCATCTCCTCCTCGACATCATCCATGACATATCTGTATTGCACGATACTCCTTTCTCTCCTGCATTTATTGATATTTTCCTAGCCGCTATTTCTGCGTTACAGTGATAAATGGGGATCGTTTCCCTAACAGACGGTGAGTGTCGCTGCGGGAATCTAGCACTGGATTTAAGCACGTTCTAGCACTTCACCGCACCGACACCGCCTGCATGATCTGCGAGCTCGGCTTGTGGAAACTCTACTCTCTAGTATCCCTTGGGTTTCTGTTCCGCTTGTGTTCGTTTGTCTGTCACTTTTAGCTCTGCAGTTGCTGATTTTTTGACAAATTATAGGTTTTAGATTACTTCATTGCTGTCGTGAAACGGAACTTGGACTGCTTCTAGCTCTTCCGTTGATTTTTTATTATTTAGTACTCACATGCCTTTCCTTATTCCACTGCTACCCTTCACGTTGCTGGAGGTGTGTGGCTGCTCAGCACATGTTTGTCTGTCTCGTGTCGACCTGTATCACATCCGTCTAATGTTACGTTACATTATAATTAACTATCGGCGCCATGCGTAACACGACGGAGCCAGCACATTATCCGTTCTAAGCAGCTCCCCGCCTCCTGCTGCCTTCTTTCTCACAATCACTCTCACGTTTCCTTGCTCTTCCTCTATCTCTTCCATCTTTTCTATACCATTGCTAGATATTTAGAAGGTACGTTCAAAGACGGGAGAGATTCCTCATTGTAGTTTCCGCATTCCGGTATTTATCTGCGTTGTGTGTTTGTCTCCTCAAGCACGCTGTTTGCTGGCATAGTCTTTTTTTTCAATTATTGTTCTTGTTCTCATAGTGTAGGGTGTTTCGCTTGTTTGGCCCCACGGGCTCACTTTGTGTCTCCTGTTGAGCTCGGGAGAGTTTCAATCTACAATGAACTGAACATGTTTTCTGATTGATGTTCCGCAATCGGTCAAGTCACGTGGGTTGTTATTGTTAGTGTGTGTGCGTGTGTGTGTGTGTGTGTGTGTGTGTGTGTGTGACAGCTGCTGTAAAGAGAGAATTTTTCGCTGGAGATTATATTTCGCTATTTTCGCGACCATCACACATTCGAGAATATAAATCGTCGCACACTGCTCTGCGCATTGACTGTACATAGACAGTATACATGGTATAAGATCCAAATGAAGAGACAAAATCGCAAGAGTTTCTCGTCATGAACGAGCACAATTCTTGAAACCGCGAACTTTGCGCCGCAAAAATTTATCGCTTTACAGTAGTTCGGTTGGGTTAGACAAGGGGAAGTACATAGCCATGTAGGGGCGTTGGCCCGCCTTTCGGCACCGGGAGTTGCAGCTCGCTCGACTTGACTCTACTGAGTATGCATGCAGAGGACCCACACCTTGATCTGGTGAGCTGCGTCGTGGGGATTTTGCAGTCAGATGTGCGACTGCTTGAAGGTGTATTGTTGTATCTGCCACCTTTGTTGGTTTCAGGGTTCGTCTTTCTATTTGAAGTATACATACATACCTGTTAACCATGGGCTGCTTCTGGCTAGATTAACTCTTGTGTAATCGATGGTGCTAGTGACGCTTAGATCAGACCCACTCTGATTTAGCCACCCACATCAGTACTCAAGCAAGTATTACCTTCACTGGGGGGCAGGGGTAAGTGCAGTTGGATCCCAGGACGGATACCCTGATGCCGTCAATCCTTTTTCTGCACCTTGTCCTCACCCGCTTACTCAGGTGTGGTGAGCCCATAGGTGGGATCATTTCCAAGTCCACCCAGAGTTTCGGGGATTTCAGGGGCGTCGGCCGTTGGGCGGCACGGTTCAATAGCCAATTGAGTCATCTTTTCAAGATAGTCTCTCTCCCCTCTCCCGGGGAAACCCACTTGACCAGTTTTGGCAGTGAGCAGCACGTACACGTGTGTGTGTGTGTGTGTGTGTGTGTGTGTGTGTGTGTGTGTGTGTGTGTGTGTGTGTGTGTGTGTGTGTGTGTGTGTGTGTGCCAGCTAGTTCGGTTGGTGGGTACACTTATGCCGGATAGGGTTGAGTCTGTTGCCAACGGGCTCGGCTGCTTGAACTTAGGGTTCATAATACTTTCTGTTTGAAGTATACATACCTGCTAACCATGGACTACTTCTGGCTAGATTAACTCTTGTGTAATCATGGTGCTAGTGAAGCTTGTATCAGATCCACTCTGATTTAGCCACCCACAGCAAGTACAGGTGGAATCCTGATAATTCGAACCTCCAAATGCCAGGAAAAAACTTCTAATTATCCGGACATTCTAATTATCCAAACATGACCCCACAACACAATACGTATGTCAAAATGCTCCCATGGTCACGCAGAGCTGCGCTATGGACCTTAGACACAGATTTCACGGACACTGAACTGACCAGCACAGCCTGCTCATGCAAACTGAACTGATCAGTACAGTGTACAGCGAACTTCGAATTACACTTTGCTAACTTCGAATTATCAGCACAAATCCCACACATTTTCTATGTAAGTGGAATCTGTGGAACTTCGAATTAATCGGTTATGTCCGGTTCGAGGTTCGAATTATCAGAATTTTTTATGTGGGAATCGTATTGACAGAAATCGGTCCTGGAAAAACTTCTAATTAATTAAGCGGTATGTTCGAATTAAGCCATATTCGAATTATCAGGATTCCACCTGTATTACCTTCACTGGCCCAGTAGGGGCAGGGGTAACTGCAGTTGGATCCCGGGACGGATACCCTGATGGCCTCAATCCTTTTTCTGCACCTTGTCCTCACCCACTTACTGAGGTGCGGTGAGCCCATAAGTGGGATCATTTTCAAGTCCACCCAGAGTTTTGGGGATTTCAGGGGGTGTCGGCCGTTGGGCGGTTCAATAGCCAATTGAGTCATTTTTCCAAGATTCCTTTTGAGTCTCTCTCCCGGGGGAGACCCACGTGACCGGTTTTGGCAGTGAGCAACAAGTACATGTGTGTGTGTGTGTGTGTGTGCGCGTGTGTGTGTGTGCGTGTGTGTGTGTGCGTGTTTCCATTTCTGCATGCAACTCACTGCGAGTCAACTTGGAATTCTGCCGATGCAGCAGCATCCATACTATAGTGAAGTTGCACACTCTTGGGGATAGCGTACTCAGTCAGAGCCAACGACAACGAAAAGTGGGTCTGAAATCTCCCAGGGCCGTAGAAATCTGCACTGTAAAGCTGTGGCACTGTGTACCAGGGAGTAGTATAATACTGTTCCCTGCTCTGTACCCAAGCCAGAGGTCAAATAGCTGATATAGCAAGCATGCAGGGTCCCCAAAGATAAAGTAAGTTACGCCGTTGAACAGGATCAAATGCGCGTTCATGACTCTATGCACATCCTGTGAGCAAGGTCGGTCGATAGTGTTTGGTCAAAAATAGGACTTTAAAATATCGCACAGTATGTTCTGTCCAGCCTCGGGTACGTTGTTGTACTGAACTGTATCACTGTACGTCGGTGAGCGCTCCGAATAGGGCTTGAAAGTGCTACGTCACAGCATATAGCAACAATTTCAAAAATTCAAAAACTGGATCCACTTGGATCCAGTTTTTGTAAGGATCCAAGCACATTTCAAGCGGTCTTACCCACAGCATGGTGATGTAGCCAGTGAAACTGACTGATTTGGCTACTGGGGGCGGGGTTACAACTGGTGGCGAAGCAAAAGTCACACCTGCATGCGACATGAGTGGGTTGCTATGCACCCACATACTTAGGCAATAGCAAAGTCACACCTTGGTGGATCCAAAAATAGAAATCTGATGTCAACTTACTACTCCCTGGCCGTTTTGACGTCATCACTTTCAAGCCCTACAGAGAGATGCATACCCGTACTAGTAGACTACACCGTCACAGTCAGTAGAGAACGGACTCGTGGCTGCCCTAGGTTACAAAGACAATAATAAAAAAGTAGCAAAGTAAAACATTGAGGTGGAAGAACAGGCGGATCTTTACGACAGTGCGGTTTTCGCATGAACCAAGCTGCACCGAACCTCAGTTTCAAATCATCAGAGAGCCGGACCGCATAGTAAGCAAAGCTTGAAATAAAAACAAATAGGTTTGTGGCTTAGATATATTAACACAATTCCGGGCGCATAGCACCGCCGTTGGAGGTAGTCCAGCTAGAGGGGGATCCGGGGTCTCCCCTGTGAACATTTTGAAATTAGGGTGCAAAATCCTGCACTTGGGGCACTTTTGCCTTTTGGCATTGTCTTAAAAAAAAAAGGTGGTCCGGCCAAAGACGGACCGGCTTCTACGCCTCTGCAATTGGTCTTCTACAAGTATGCAACTGCTGCTGTGTGCAGCACCAGTGGTTTAGGCATGCAGATCAAGATGCACCACTGAGATCCAAACAACTTGCTGCTGAGAGCGACCGGGCAGGCTCAAGTTGTACGGCGACTAACGATATGCCCACAATCGGCTATGCTGACCAGCAGCAGCAGCAGCAACATTGTGCAACAGCGGATGTACACTGCGTAAGTACATGTACAGATACTGGCGTGGCTGAACACAGAGACCAAGACGCACACGAGGGGTTCCTGGCCAGCAGGACCCAGCGCTTGCAGTGCACACAAGCACATGCATCCAGAGTATTAACAGACTAGCAAGTAGGGTGTACGTTGTCTCTGCACTTCCCATACATGCCAGCAAGTAATGTTGAGTGCCGAATCACCGCATTAGCAATGGCTGTAATTCGACGAGCACGCACCTCTGCCAGTGCACTTGTGTCAAAGAGCTGAGCCAGATTCCTAGGGCAGAAAGCACGCGACGAATAGGCACATATCCCACTCCATCAGGCACCAGCAGCCCATTTGAACTCACTATAAATGAGCCATTCTGTCTGGTTCGTTGAAGGAGCCATCTAGGCATTCAACATTACATGTGTGTAACCATAGCAGTAGCAGGAGATGAGACGTTCCCTGGTGTTTCTCTTCCTGGTGTGTGCACTGGAATTCATCTCTATTCTCTACCCGATGGACCGACTGTTGATGAAGAATATCCCCGTAATGAGGTCAGCTGCTTTGAAGCCATCTGTCACCAAGCAGTCTCAACAAGCAAGAATAGCGGCTTACCACACAGACAGGCAGAGTGTGGGCTCACGATAGAAGATTCTCAAGTAGTGTTTCAGTAGCCGCAGCACACACGCCGGTTTCGCTCGCCTGCATTAGCCGCTGGCATTTGCGCTGCTCGCTCAGCAGGCCGAGGTACACGGCGTACTTGCGCGTGAAGAAGTCCCGGCAGCCGCAGCCCCGTACGAGCCGAGCCCGCGGCGCCATCCGCTTCATGCACTCGGACAGCGAGGCTGTGCCGCTGGCGGCCGCCCCCAACATGGCCGCGCCAAGGGCAACGGACTCCTTCTCCGATGCCACCGCCACCGGCATGCTCACAGCGTCGGTGTGCGCCTGCAGGTAGAGCTCGTTCTTCAGCGCGACACCGCCGCAGGCAATCAGCAGCTCCGGCAGCGCCGTGTCGGCCTCGTCGCGCCGAGCGATGCTGTCGAAAATGAAGCGCACGCCGAGCGCCAGTCCGATCAGCGTGGCCACGTAGACCCGGGCCAGCGATTCCAGGCCGGAGTCGAGCGACAGTCCGCTGATCATGCCACGAATGCTGTCGTCGCCGAGCGGCGCCCGGTTGCCGCGGAAGTCGGGCAGGACGTGAACGTCGGCGGCCAGAAGCGGCCACTGGTCCCCGCCGAGCTGCAGAACGTAGCGATTGAGCCTGGTGAACACGTCCCCGTCGCCGTACTCGTCCAGCTGGCCGACCGCCGCATGGCGCGAGACGATGTGGTGAAGCAGGTCGCCCACGGCGCTCTGCCCGCTCTCGTGCACCCAGCCGGCCGGCATGATGTAACAGCCGGGTCCGCTCGCCTTCCCCACCATCAGGCACGTGGACGTACCGCAGATGAGCGCCGCGCGTCCGCAGAAGCCCTCCGACGACTGCTCCTCTGCCGCTGCGGTGGCCGTGCTTTTGCCAACGCTGACGCCAAGAACACCCAGCGCACCGGCGTGGGCATCTATCAGCGACGCGGACACCGCCGTGCCCGGCACAAGACCAAATGCGCGGGCCGCCTCGGCGCACAGCCCCTGCCCTACCGCCGTGCCAGGCCGCTGCACCAGCTGGCCGAGACGCTGAAAGTCGTCCGCGACGTGATCTTCCAGACCGGCCGCGGCGTATGCGGAGCGAGGCCACCCCTGTGCCGCCGCTATAGCCGTGTTAACGCCCGCCCTGTTGTCGTCATGGCGGTAATTGAACTTGGCCGTCAGCGCGCAGAGGGAGCGCGGAAACGACGAGTCCGACGCGCCAGTTGCTTTCATCACTAGCCAGTCGCTCAGATCTAGGACGTGTGCAGTTGCTGCGTACACGTCTGGCATGTTCTCCTTCAGCCAGAGAAGTTTGCATGCGTGACGCTCAGCGGTCAGCCAAAACGGATCCGGAGCGTCCGCCGACACCTCGCGCAACTTGCTGCTGTGCCGTGCAGCTGCCGCCTGCTTTTCGCCACGGTGGTCCATCCACATGATGACGTCGTGGTGGGGATTCCCCGCCGCCGCCGGGCTGACGCATTGAGGATGGCAGTCGGCATCCAGGACCAGGGTGGAACATGTGGACGTGAAGCCAACGCCTCGCACACACTCTCGAAAGTCTCCAGCTGGCCGTCCGGTTGCCGCACATTGAGGCGACTGCTGGGCAGACGAAATCGCACTGGTTGCTGCCTCTACACAAGCTTGCCATATCTCAGCTGACGATTGCTCGACGATGTTGGGATTCGATGGATCGACAAATACACTCACAGCGCGCTCAGCCGTGCTCAGCACCTTGCCACGGACATCGACCAGCACAGTACGAGCACTCTGCGAGCCGACGTCAATGCCTAAAAACAGATCCGTGGCCATGATTTTCACAGACTGGTCAGTGGCATTCCAGTCGAGTCTACACCGTCACGTCACGTATTTCGCCTCCGACATACGCAGGCAGTAGCTGCTGATGCTCAGCTACTGAACCAACCCAGTACAGTGCCTTCAGTGAGCCTGAATATTTGACTGCTTCAAGAGAATCAGCCACCAAGCTAAATAAAAACAGTTGCTGCTATGATGCCGCGGGAGAGAGAGCCCAGTCGTCCAAAGGTAGCCTGATTCCAGATGGCCAAGCCGATGCCACAACGACAGCACCACACTAGTCCACAACTACACTGAGTCCACTGCCACTGCTCCACAGTCCACACCATGAAAGCTGCGAGGTATTTCGTGTCGCGACCGAGCAAGAGACGACTTCACTCTTCGGCACAAAAAGTGAAAGGATCCAGACTTTTCATGTTTTTCCAGCTGCTCTTTTGACGTGCCTACGATCACGTGCACACGATCACGTGCACGTCTGACTTGCGACTAAAAAAGTCTTGTTTTCTTGTTTGTCCGAGTCAATGGGGCTGTTAAGTGTGACGTCACGGCCCCTTCGATACGCATAGCAACAGAGAGCACTGGGGACAAACAAAAGTCGCGTCCTCTGGATGGAACCAGTTGTGAAGGGCAACAGCATCTAAATGACTGGAGAGAGAGCAGTTTTTCTTTGCTTTTTCTTCAAGCGATTGTTGTCGCTCTGTACTCCTTGTTCTTTCCTCTACAAATCTCCTGTAGTCGTCGAGGGCCTTCATAATGGCTGTGAAATTGGCTGCCCACTGTAAAACTCCGTGTTTGAGAGTGCTTTGAAGATTCTTCGCCTCCTGATGGATCAAAGTACGAGCGCTCCCTGTGGATTCGATTATATGTAGGTGAGTTGTTCAAGAAATCAGTGTCTTCTTTCTGTCTCTGCCCTCACAATATCAGCCTCTATATCCATGACAGCCCGCACCTCCCGTAGACTGCATGACTTAGCTGTATTCTCGCCCTCCGTGGTGATTGAAGACCCATGGAAGAAGTTATTCAGAATGATGTCCTGAGAATATAAAATATAATAATTCCAGGGAATTGTTACAGGGTATTTTGGAAGGATGGAGAGAGAGAGAGCACTGTTTGAAGTGTTTGTCTCACTGTAATTACTCCAGATTATTGAATGGTGTATGATCTACTCGATATTTTCCGCAATGGTTTTTCCTGATCTGCGGGATCTCTTCTTTTGCTGTTTGCATGTTTACAGGAAGTGACTGTCTGGTGTATCTGCACCAGATCCTGGTGAGATTAAGTCAGATGCAGAGGCAGGGTCGTCCAGTGATGCAACACTGCCGCTCTATGTGCAACGTCACTGCTAATTCCCCCGGCGAAAACACAAACACGTGAAGAGACTACAGTATCGACCGTTCTGGTAATGAATCGTGACTGCTCGGACAGTCGATAATCGAAACACAGAGCACCAGCATGATGTTTTCATATTGGGAACCACACACCAGCTCAATTCTCAAGCCGAAAAATTATACAAAACACAGAGCGACGCAACAAGAGATCATCCGGCAACCAAACCAACCTGGGTCTGATGCACTGAATAGTCCTGAAATACGCAGGCCACACAAAGCAGTGCAAGCACAGACTGTTACAAGGTACATGCATTGCAGAACAAAGTGTAACCAAAGATACACAGGGTTATAGCTGCACACTCGTGCATGTGCTCGCTCAGCCCAAGAACACGCAGGATGATAGAAATAATCCGGGGGAAACACCCTAATGTCATGACCGGGGAGTGGGCCAGACATACTCTCAGGATTCTACAATTCCAGGTTCTTTACGGAAATATACCAGGAGTCCAGATACCCATTCCTCACCCTCACCACACAAGAAGATCAAAGCTTCACTCTAGGACCAAGCTCAAACAACAGAGAAGCAACAAGAACAACAACAACCAGCGTATATACTACAAGACCTAGTAGCGTGCACGGCGCGGAGCGAGCGAGTAGCCAGCAAAGCATGAATAGTGATAGGTTTCACAACACTATTGATCGACAAGACACATCGCCGCCACGGCAAACACTTCATAAAGACACATGTATAAGCAGACGGAATACAATACAGATAATGACATTGTAGCAACACACGGACACGACACTAGCACCGAAGTAAGCATCAAGACGTAAATAGTGCAGCTCTGAAAAAGTAAAAACTACATTGACATGTACATTGGTGTGCCGAGTAGTATCATCCTTGATTACCCATCCAACCAAGATGTTATCAGGTCCCAGACGCCGAGATCCCACGCCGAATGTGAAGTGCATCTAGCCTTGAACCTGTTGCACAAGGCACACACATATGACAAAAAATGACATCCACTCCGATTATTTCCAGAGGTCAATCATAACAGAACACAGAAATGAAACCACGGGCTCAACAAAGTAAACGCAAAGGAAATTAGTTAAAATAATCCATGAAGTGCTATTTTAATTCCAGCGCTGACTGCAGTGTGGCGTCATGGCCCGATACCCGCTGAGCATAGACACAAACTCCATTTGACAGGGGCACGACATACTATTTTGGAATAAAGTCACAGGGGCGTAGCACCCGCTACGACTGGTACGACCATGGCCGCACCACTTTTCAAACAGTGTGGTCCGTCTGGAACGTGCAAGACCGTAATAAAAAAATCAGGATCCATCGATATTTGCATATGCGCATCAGACCTTTCTCTAGACTCGTACTAGTAGATCTGTTATGCATCTGCAGTCGTACTGAGTACTGTACTCGACTGCACACTGCGCCAGAAGTTCCCAGAACGCAGGATTTTGTGTCTTTTTTACAAAATTTTCCGGGGGGGGGGGGCCGGACCCCCCCCCCCCTCCGACACGGCCTTCCGCCGCACCGACCTTCGGTCGTACCACTTCCAAAACCCCTCCTACGCCCCTGAGTCATAAAGTACAGCACTCCAATGACATGACGGACACCTCGTGCAAATGCGTGGTCTGTTCATCCGGCCAACTCGGCCACGCATGAGAGTGTGTGCATGTACGCGCGCACGCAAGCGCGCGCGTGCACACACACCATGTATTCGGTGCGTATGGCGTACCTGTTGCGGAGATAATGAAGATGGAATCATTATCATGATGTTACATGACATTGTACATGTACATGTACATTGTATGTTTGAGTGTAAAGTAAATTTTATTTTATTACACATTTCTTCGACACAACTTACTCCACATCTTCGCATTTCTCATAATCCATCCACCTACACTCCGTCTCAGTTGAGGAAAAACTCTCCCAGGTATACACTAGTCACCACAGCCATGTGATGACATTGGGATGGGTCCCAAGCACGATTGCACTCTCCAGTTACAATAATTATAATTTTGTCCAGATTATCTGTGAAGACAAAATGCAATGCATAGCGGCAATCGATGGATGAAGAGAGAGTTTGTAAATACACATATCTTTCCACTTGTTCAGGAGCTTACCTTTTGGAGTTCACATCGTTTACACGATCTCTTATGCTGTCTTGCACCTTGGCTTTGTTGACCATGGGTACGCCATCCCAGAAGACATTCTACAGGAGCTACTAATGCAGAGCGTTTTTCACGCTCGATCTCGGCGATCTACCTCGTCACGCCAACGAGAGAGCTTGGAAGCTCAGGGCCCTGCGCTATGCTTTGTTGCCTAGCTCATCGTGCATGTTGGTAGAACTGATGGAAATGCTTTTTCCTTTGATTAGCTACATCATTGTATTGCAAAAACGTTTCAATGAGATACTGAAGTAACGTCTTCTGCAAAGCTATGGAACCGGCGCTGACTCTGCTGATCACGGGCGTTCTGGAGTCGACGGAATGTCTGTCCTGACGTTTCCTGGGACCGGCGCTGACTCTGCCGATCACGGGCGTTCTTCTTTTTCTTATTATTATACTGACGGCAACGTTCGTATTTCTTTCTAGAAAATCTCCCCATACAGCAGGGAGTCGTTTACATAATATGACTCCCTGCTATACATCTACATGACTGTATATACGTTATAATTATGATACTATCGGCCTACATGCGATTCTCGGGCTGGTCGACAGGCGGCCCAGCCAGCCTGCTAGTGGGATCTCGGCCTCGCACACAAATCCACACAAAATGTTACTGCACTGAATGCATTCCCCCATACACTTCGCATATATATTCATTCTCTTGATGGTACCGTACTCTTGATGGTACGGGACAGGTACGGGATAACGCCAGGCATGTCGATGGCACAAACAAACAAAAGTATTGTGGCCAGCTGTCTTTGCTGGTACGGTACAGTACGGGACAGATACGGGATAGCGCCAGGCGTGACACAAACAAACAAACAAACAAACAAACAAACAAACAAACAAACACCAAATTAAAGCTGTGTGGACCCTGGCTAGCGCCAGACGTTACTGAAGTAACGTCTTCTGCATAGCTACGGGAATAAAATCCTCCGTGACACTGGCTACAGTCACAAGAGACGTCTCAGTAAGGTAATGAGCACGACAACGCCGTCGAGATCAAGGACAAAGAGAAAACAAAACACTCACTGAAAACAGCAAAGAAGAAACGAAGAAATGTACACGATTCCTATATGTTGCCACTGACAACTGGTTCGGTGGAGACGACGCTACTTTTGTTTGTCCCCAGTGGGATCGTTGCTATGCGTATCGAAGGAACTGTGACGTCATCACTTAACAGCCCCATCAGGGAGTAGCAAAATACAGCTGAAAATACCTACTACAAAAAGTACTACTCCCTGGTTTGGACTGTCATGTGACCTCAAATCAATGGTCTAGAGATCAAAGCTATTTTTTAATATCCAGGTGCGGAATTATTCCGCACCTGGATATTTCAAAACACTGATACAGTACTACAATCAGCGTTTGTACTGAGTTGCAAGCGCAGGCGGTCGAAAAACTAACCAAAGGACCATGATAAACACAAGCCGTGTCAAAACTTCCCAAAACCCTCCATTTGAACCGGGTAGCGAAGTCACTTCTGAAGAACCAGAATACGGTACCCTGCAGTGCAGGAAAAAAAATTAAAAAATACATGTTCGAAAAACCGTACTAGATACAAATATGAGCGGCAGCCTCGGACCACGCTCAGCAGGGCCCGGATAAATACACCGGATATAGAGGCTTGCTACGACTGAGTTGACAAAGCGGTGAGCGGCTCACACAGTGTATACACACTGTGTATAACTGTATGGGCCAACAGACAACACACTGCAGTGGCCAACACCAACACTATTTGCCTACATCAGTCATTTAAATATGGTCTAGATCAGCAGCACCGGCAAACCGCAGTCGCGGCATAGCAAAGTCAGCACATCATCGAGTCATTAGCATAATGGCCGCCAGCAGCAATTATTTCAATGATGATCGCCTGAAACGAGTATTCAAACCGCCATGAACGTTGAGATAATTATGATTCAGTGTTTGGAGAGATATTCAGGATAAATAGACAGCGGCGTATTCAGGCCGTTCCGGGACCAGACCAAATGACCAATGTCGCACAGCGGTGTCCTTTCTGTCATGCAGCCCGTGGACCGGTTGTTAAATGTTCCTGCGACTTGAAAATTCTGAACAACTTTTTAAAAGGTCACTGTAGAAAAATGGCTACTTGTCACATAACTTACTAGAGCATTGCAATTGAACAGTACACCGGTGCTTTGCAGAATCACAGGAAGACAGAGAGCAGCATCGGATAATATATCGTGTAGAACTAATGATGCAACGCCACTGCTGGAATACAGCTGGGTTAGCACTACATTGCCACGTTCCAGCTTGGCAACCGTCGCCGCTCTCAGTGCACCGGGCGCCGCGAAGGACCACATGCATGGGTGTTTGTTCTGCGGCTGGGAATAAAACAGAGTCCACAGAAAGTAGCACGCACACCAGGTCATGCAAGCGGTGCAATTTCTGCAGACCCACCAGGAGGCACGGCAACTTCAACCTGCGGCGAGGGCAGAACATAACCAGCTCGCTGACTCGGTGCTATATTCAAAGGTGTCACGGTGCTTGCTCCGTATCGGCCTGACGAGCGCGTGCTGGAAACTAACGGTGTCCTTTCACTCGCCTGATCTGGTGCATAGTCTTCGCCACTGGCTTCGAGAATCGGCGAGTGTGCGGCTTGCGGCTGGTACCTGGGC